ATTCTTAATTATTATATATATATATATATATATATAAATTTAAGGAAATATCCTATAGTATATATTACAGTATATATAGTATATATTATATATATATATATATATAATAATTTGGACAAACACGATTAATAATTAATATTAAAAACAAATTACTTTATCAATTTTATTATACATATATTTAACAATATACTCACGATATTTTCGCAGCTTGGAGAACCTACATCAATAATAGAGAAAGAAACATAAGAAACGTTTGGCGTCGATATTTTCGTAGAGATCGTATTGAACCTGTTATGAGATTTGAGAGGGGAAACATGAACATAGAAATTGTCGAAGATAATGTAAGTAAGAAAACAATGTATGCGATGCATAAGCGCAATTATATTATTCGTGATCACAGAATCGTTTTGAAGTATTTTCTTACAAAATAGCAATCTTACTTTTTTATAAATTCAAAATTAAATTTTAGATGTTAAAATATCTCTATTTTTTGTTTTCTTAATCACTTGATTCTTTTACTAAGATATCAAATTACTCCCCATACCATACAAATTACAAGTTTGTCATACATATTTTGGTTATTTCACAAAGTACAATATCAATTTTTATTTATTTTTTATATTGTATCGGATTTAAGAACATACAAATATATTTGGCATAATACAATATTTATACTCGTGATTAATATACATAATTTTAATAATTGTAATATTAAGTAACATCAAGTTGACTTTAAAAATATTTCTCCTATTAAAATTTCGTATTTTTAGATTATTATAGATTATTATAGAATCTTATTTCTTTTATTATCTTATTATTAAATACTACATCTAAAAAAGAATTAATTTGTTTTTTATAGCAGGCAAATATGAGATATTGATAAGAAGACAAAAATGATTATATATAACAACTATACACTAATTTTTAATATTCATTTAAATTCAAAACAACTTGTAATGTGAATCTCGAGGACGAGTAATATATTTTTCATCATTTTTTTATATTTTATATTTGCGATAATTAAGTATCTGACTTAAATATATATAAAACTAAAACTTTAATTAAAGACTTTAGTTAAAGATACAAGTACATCAATATTTTAAATTTAAGATTTGTGTTGAATATAAACTTATTTATTTATTTATTTATTTATTTCATTTATTATCTTCTTAGTACTTTTATTTATTTATGTATTATATAAATAAATATATTTATAAATATATAATTGTTCACATAAGTAAAATGAAAATAGATATCATATTTCGAACGTTTACTTCTTAAATATAATTTTTTATCATTAGTTTTAATATAAAAACATAACATCGTAATAAAAATAAATTTCAAATCTTAAATCTTCAGTCGATATTGATGTATTATATTTATTTAATTAGAGTTTAATATATACGCGCTATAATTGACAATATTATAAGTTTTTAATAAATTATAATAAACATGTATTTATATAAAATATAAATCATAAATATATTATAATTTATATAAATTTATAAATTACATATTTTAACTTAAAAATCATAATTTGCATGTACACATATATAAATATTACATGTTAGATAAGCTTATAAAATCAATATTAATTATATAATTTAATTATTAATTATATAATTATATAATTTAATTTTATCATTCCTGATATATTTTAATTGCTTCATTCTGTCATGTATGGATTGTATAATACGAATATAAATAAATATGTATTAACGTAATTCTAAAACTATTAGTTCATTTAAATGTTATATCCAAAATGTCCTTACTGAAAATAAAAGTACACAATTAATTAATAAAGTACATAATTAATTACTGTACAATTAATTAAGTAAAAATGTATATTTACATCATGTATGGATGTAATACAAAATACTTGTCTTATAATAAAAAAAATTGTTTCTTCAATAATTGATTATCTCTTGATTATCTTAAGTATCTCTGCTAGGGTTGTTATTCTTCATGTTAATATGTTTGCAATAAATTTGCAAATATTGTTGATTCTATTAATATATTCAACTGTTATTAAATTAATATATTCAACTATCATTATATACACTAATAAATTAAGCATTCCTAATTTATTAGTTTATATAATGACAAATGCATTTGTGTATCGCATATCAAAAGCTGACACGCATTTTATTCAATCTGTACTTTAAAAAGATAAATATATGATGCAACTTCGTCAAATACGTATTAATATATTTCCTTCTTTTTTTTCATGTGCTTTCCATAAGTATTACAAAAAAGATTATACCGTAATGTACAATCAATTAAATATTAATTTTATTTAATCAGGAAAACAGCAATAGAGTTGAAAAACGAATTTCAAAATTGAAAAAATTCAATATAAACATCAAGTATATTATAAAATAAATAAATATAAATATAATAAAACATATGGATTAGATTTTAAAATATATATAATCTTTAAATAAGCTTTCAAATCTTTTTGTGCAAATTTTCAGATATATAAATCTGTATAATCCTTCTTTGCTTTATTTCTTTGAAAAGAAATAAAGAACAAATATAATTTAATTTTTTGGATATAAAAAATTAAAAAGTAATCTATTGATTAGATTAATTGTGATAAGCAAACAATCAATTAATAAAATCTTTCTCTTAATCTTTTTCATTTTAACCGAAGAAAACTCGAATTCCTAACAAACAAGAACATACAAACATTAAAAAAATTTTAGTAAAAAAATTTATATTATTGATAAGTAAATCTATCTTAAACAGTTTCTTGTTTGTGAAATAGAGAGAAAGAACAAACAGAAAAGTTTCTACAAACAAACGATTGTACATAAGATTCTGACAACAAATAGCATTCGTTCGTATTGGCTAATGTGATGTAGTCAAATAGAAGTAAGTTCTTATTCTCTATAGAGTTGTCATTCTATCATGTACATAAGACGTAGAGACGGTAAATTTTCGCTCTGGTAAGGTAAAGAATAATAAAAATTTAATAAGAATTTAATAAGAATTAATCGAGACTAAAGTAACAATTCAACAATTTAACATTGATTTTTGTATTATGTTTTATTAATGCTTTTTTAATATTGCGGAATTAGTTTCTACTGATAATATTGTACGTATTTAAATCAAATTATATGAATTCAAAACCATCTGAAAATCATGATCGTTTCGTTAATAAAAATTAACAAAAGTAAAATTATCATTATTTATGCAGTAATTCTTAAGTATATAAGTATAAACTTTACCTATTGTAATATAATGTTTTAAATATTTTTGATATTATATTTATGACTCTTTTTCATTTTTTGTGTAATAATTTAATAAATTGAATAAATGCTAAAATTCGTTATTAGAAAGCACAATTGTCTAAAATGACATTATTTTAAGAAAAATATTTAAAAAATTATTATGTAAAAAAGCATTTATAATATGTACTTTCTCATACACATATCGTTAACATACATCGAAATGATTGAAATAAATATTTTTAACATTTTAATATTTAGTAACATTTTTCCCGTAATTTTATAATTTATAGTTTTATAATCTTCTATAATCCGTTTCTGTAAATCTCTCAAGCAACAATGAAACATTTAAATGATTAAAATTTTTGTATAGATTAGTAATATAAATTAGTTTTCATTTTCTCACAGTTATTACACAGTTATTACACAATTTAAGTTTGATTGGAATTTAATATACTATTGTAATTTTTTTTTATAAAAATTGCTTAGCGATTCCTAGCTAAAATCTTAAATTTTTTCAAATTACATTCCATTTCTTATATTTTATTCCCTTTGTAATTATATTTTCAATTTTGTTTTGCTGTTAACCTGTTAAAATAATAACTTCATAAAGGTGTGAAAAAAGTATTAATATTATCGATTATATTTAAACTGTTTCTTGGTATATAACTATTTGAAAGTTTTTTTTATAAATATGTATCATATAAACTTTCTTTTTTTCCCTATCTCTTGTAAATCATATAATATTAAAACACTTATAAAAAGTTTCAATCAGAAATTTCAATCATTATTTAAGTTGTAAAACATTTTTAAAATTTTTTAAATTTTCGCGAATTTCTTAAAGAGAAAAATCAAATAAATATTTCCCTTAAAATCCCTTCCCTTAAAATCAAATAAATATTAACTTCCCTTATAATAGAGATTATAAAATTTTATTTATCTTATTTTATTTATCTATTTTAAAATCCTCTTCTAACATTTATTTTCGAATGTATTTTATTTCCCCTAAAAACATTTAATTGCTATTTTGACATTCTTTTTAAGTATATTATATTAATAAATATTTTTAATAAATATTTCAATGTAACCTTGATCGATTCTTTTTAGATTTCATTCTTTAATTATTATAAGATATGAACCGTTAGACAATCGTGGTAGACAAATATCATATATTATATAATATTTTCTGAGTCAGATATCAAAAATAATTATCGTTAATTTTAAGTTACGATACGAACAATTGCGATTAAGTGAATAAAATAAACATAATCTATTTAGATTAAATTTTATCAATTCTGATTAAGGAAAAGATTAAATAATGACTCATACAAGAACACTGCTATGGATTATTGTCTTCGTAATTTTAACCTTAGGTGAGATATTTTATATGACTATAAAAAATAAAATATATGCGTAATAACATTTATAAAAATAAAATAAATTAAGTAATATATATATATATATATATATATATATATATATATATATATATAATA